TTTGTGTGTGTTTGTGTTTGTATATGTGTATGTGAATGTGAATATGTATGTGTAAGTGAACGTGTGTGTATGCGTGTGCGTGTGTGTGTGTGTGTGTGTGTGTGTGTGTGTGTGTGTGTGTGTGTGTGTGTGTGTGTGTGTGTGTGTGTGTGTGTGTGTGTGTGTGTGTGTGTGTGCAAAAAAGGCAAGGTAGGTAGATAAATCAAAGATTTTTTACGGAATAGGAAAAAAATATATATCACTGTTAGTTTATGGCATTTACTGGCCTATAGTTAACCTTACAAACTCACTTTGGCGAAAGCAATAAAAAAAAATGATACCGATAAAAGTAACAAGAAAATATAACACATAATCACGATAAAAAAAAAAAAACAATTACATAACAATGGGAAACAAATACAAAGAATAAAATGTATTCTAAAGCTAAATAAGAAATAATAACGATAAAAAAATGCCATTACCCCAGACATCACTAACATTTCATTATAAATCCTGTCTTTTACTGTGGTCATTTCATCACGGTCAACAAAAGAGGTGGACGGTATTCAACTGTGCAATTTCCTACACAGGACGCAGAAAAAGATGAATGCATTGTTTTTTTTGTGTGAGTGTGTGTGTGAGTGTGTGTGTGTGTATGTGTGTGTGTATGTGTGTGTGTATGTGTGTGTGTGTGTGTGTGTGTGTGTGTGTGTGTGTGTGTGTGTGTGTGTGTGTGTGTGTGTGTGTGTGTGTGTGTGTGTGTGTGTGTGTGTGTGTGTAAGAGAGAGAGAAAGAGAGGGAAAGAGAGAGAGAGAAGAGAGAGAGAGAAGAGAGAGAGAGAAGAGAGAGAGAGAGAGAGAGAGAGAGAGAGAGAGAGAGAGAGAGAGAGAGAGAGAGAGGAGAGAGAGAGAGAGAGAGAGAGAGAGAGAGAGAGAGAGAGAGAGAGAGAGAGAGGGAGAGAGGGAGAGAGGAGAGAGAGAGGGAGAAAAGGAGAAAGAGGAGAAAAGGAGTAAGGAGAGAAGAGAGAGAGAGAGAGAGAGAGAGAGAGAGAATAAGAAGGATAAAAAAATATATATATCATCGTGGAAATTCAACAGCGAAGTTTGAATGTAATATTTATGTATGCATTTTCCATTCTGGGCTAGAAGAGGTTCTCTCGTAAGACAATATCGTCTACTTCTTGCCTATTACGAAGGCGAAAGGAACTAAACTTATATTAAAAACTATTTAGGTAGTTTCAAGTCGCGTCACAGACCACGTACATATCTTTACACATATGGATAATTCCGCACTTGTATACATACACTCAATATTTAATTTTATTGTGTTTACACTCTCTCTCTCTCTCACACACACACACACACACACATACGTTCAAATTCAAATATGTTCTACATATAATTATAATCTTAATCATTTACCTATCATATATATATCTATAAATATATTTCCTACATAGCTGGCCTATAATCACTTTAACTTCATAGACCCTGAGATAAAATCAAACGTTTCCTTAAATATAAAGGGTTTACCATAGCCCGTGAGTAGTTACTTATACCATGCAGCTGTATTATCTGGAACATCGATGCATTATACAACATACAGGAGTGGGAGAGGGAGAGGAAATGAGAGAAGAGGGAGAAAGAGAGGGAGAAGAGGAAGAGGGAGGGGGAGAGGGAGGGGGAGAGGGAGAAGAAGAGAGAGAGGGAGGGGGAAGGGGGGGAGAGGGAGAGGGAGAGGGAGAGGGAGAGGGAGAGGGAGAGGGAGGGGGAGAGGGAGGGAGAAGAAGAGAGAGAGGGAGGGGGAAGGGGGGAGAGGGAGAGGGAGAGGGAGAGGGAGGGGGAGAGGGAGGGGGAGGGGGAGAGGGAGGGGGAGGGGGGAGGGAGAGGGAGGGGGAGGGGGAGGGGGAAGAAGAAGGGGGAGGGGGAAAGGGAGAAGAGGGTGAGGGATAGGGTGGAGAACGGGGAGAGGAATGGGGAGGAGGAGGGGAAGAGGGAGGGGAGAGGGAGAAGAAGGGAGAAAATACAAAAATATATAGGTATACAGAAATAGAGATGTATGTATATACATACATACATGTATGTATATCTACATCATATATATGTATATATACATATACATACAATACATGCATATATAAATGCAGACAAGAGAACAATAGGCGGAATGTGATCTTGCTGTTAACTATAAGAGCTGCATCTAATACTGTTTTCTTCTAAATATAACTTGCATTCTGCCAACTCGATGGATTAAAAACAACCAGGAACAATAGAGATTCTTACAATAAAAACAACAATATGTTGATATTATCACACAAGAGTTTCAACGAAGGTCTGATAACACTAAGCTGATATTGGAATGGCCATGAAGATGGTATTGACTTAAAACTTAAATTAAAGTTCTTATCTGAACGTGAGATACAAGAATATAGAAAACAGGGATTTTTTTTTTCTTTTGTTTTCATTTTTTTTCTCCTTTCGTTTTGAAGCTACATTCTGGTCATAAAATAATAGTTCAGTAGTTTAATTTGTGTTTTTTTGTTTGTCATCTTCTTGATATTTGAAATAAATAAGATATATTACCGAAGCATTTCAATCACCGTTTAGAAAATGTATTAAATACTACAATAAGCATACAGAGTACTAACACCTAAACACACGTTTCAGACTCGTTACAAACACACTAATTCTTTCAAAAACACCTAAATACACTTGCACATAACGACAAAAAATCTCACGCACTCTTTCACCCAAACACGTTCTTGACAAGAATACATTAATGAGAATTAAAAACTAAAACAAAAAACGGAGTCGCAGCTTCGGCCAGACTGAAATCTCGATAACATTTCTTTGTTTTCGTTTTTGTTTTTTTCTTCTTCTCCTTTTTTTTTCAAATATTTGAACTCCATCCGTAACGGTCTTTTTTTTACGCGTGGCAGAACCCTCGCGCCAAAACGAACGCCAGGAGAAGGAGCAGCGAAGAGAGAGATCCCGAGGTCGCTGGAGCTAAGGTCGACCCGCCGCTGGTGCCCTGCATGCCCGTGGCTCTCGAGGGCGCTTTGGTCGGCCTCCTGACGGGCGTGGAGTAGCTGGGGCCGGGGGCGTGGTCGGAGCTGTTGGCCAGGAGGTCGAAGTCCACCGTGACCTGAGTTTGACCCTCGACGTACCTCATGACCTTGGCCTTGAAGTTGGGGTCGGGGTCAGGTGTCCAGTGACCGCATCGGGGGAAGTCCTTGGGCACGGGGGGCACCATGCTCTGGTCGCCCACGCGGAACACCAGCCCCATGCCCACCTCCACGTGGAAGCTGATGTGGCAGTGGAAGAGCCAGTAGCCTGCAGGGGGAGCGGAGGAGGGGTTAGAACACGTCCAGTGCTTTTTGATATTTGTCTACCTACCTACCCATCTATGTATCCATTTATCTCTCTCTTTTTCCTTCTCTACCTTCTCCATATCTTCTTTCTTTTCCTTCTTCCCCCCCTTTTCTCTCGCTCTTCTTTCTTTTCCTTCTCCCCCCTTCTCTTTCTCTCTCCCTCTCCCTATCTCCCTCTCTCCCTCCTTCCCTTTCTCCCTACCTCCCTCTCTCCCTCCCTCCCTCTCTCTCTCCCCCCCCCCCTCTCTCTCTCTCTCTCTCTCTCTCTCTCTCTTCCCCCCCCCCTCTCTCTCTCTCTCACCCTCTCTCTCTCTCTCCCCACACCTCTCTATCCCTCTTCCTCCCCTTTCTTCCCTCAATCACCCCTCCCTTTCCCTCTCCCTTCCTTTCCCTACCCAACTCCTTCTCTCACCTGGATTAGTAGCGAAGAAGCGTATGATTGTGTAACCTCCGTCAGGCACCGTCACCGTGTCCTTCGTGGGCGGGTTGTCGAAGTTCCTCTTGATCAGGCCGGCGGCGTCGAGTTCCTTCACCTGACGAAGGAGATGAAGGATGAGATATGAAAAAAAGTAGCGGTATCGAAGTCACTATAAGAAATGGCGTTGATGTAATTTTTGTTTATTTATGTATGTGTCTTGACACATGGCATGTATTTTTTTTCATTTATTGTGTTTTAGGATACATGTATTTCTTACAGATTATAATCCATCTCACCCTTTCGTATTTTAAAATTCATTTCTATCCTTTTATAGTTCATATATTCATAAACAACATTCGGACTTTCAAGCCTTCCTCACCATAACCATGATAATCTCTTCCCACACACACCTTATCCATGGTAGTTTACTCACAGTCATAACCTATCCACGATAGTCTCTTTTCTCACACACACACTTTACATGTTAGTGTCTCTTCTCACACACACACACTTTACATGGTAGCGTCTCACACACACACACTTTACATAGTAGTGTCTCTCTCACACACACTTTACATGGCAGTGTCTCTCTCACACACACACTTTACATGGCAGTATCTCTCACACACACACACACACTTTACATGGTAGTATCTCTCTCACACACACACTTTACATGGTAGTGTCCCTAACATACATAGCCTATGTATTGAAGTCTCCCTCCCACTCACCTTTTTCATGGTCGTTTCTTCCCCTAAGCGTCCCATGGCCAGCACCTTGAACGTATGGCCGTGGAGATGGAAAGGATGGTTGGCCCAGTAAACAACACCTGGAAAAAATATTGAACTTTTAGGGATAGAACGCGAAGTGAGCTTAATATTTATTTATTGAAATTACTTATGTAAGTTTTAGGTGAATTTTGGTAATATTTAAGGGATGGGACACGATTTGAAGTTAATAATCGCGTATTGAACCTATCTATGTACGTTTTAATTGACCGCAAGTTATATTTTAGGAATAGGATACGAGGCGAACTTGGTCCTTACTTATTAAAGCTATTAATTTACATTTTAGGTGATTTTAAGTAATGTTGGCTATTTTGGAATTTAGGAGGTAATGTTAGTTATTCTATCTGGATTTTAGGTAATGATAAAATGTCATGTTATTGTTTAAAGTTGGACATGTCCAACTTAAAGATACATTTAGGTATCTGATGTTAGTCTTTCCATTTTAGGTATTGATGATAGATATTATGTAATGGTGTAGAGGTTATATCAAACGTTCTTAATAAGTTATAGGTAATGAAGTCAGCTGACATAAAGTATTACATAAGGTATTATCATGGATTTTGTTTTGTGTAACTGAAAATCCTTATTGTTATTGAATATTTGTTTTGAGTTCTAGGTAATAGTGTATGTATGCACGCATGCACGCATGCACGTGTGTATGTATGTATGTATGTATGTATGTATGCACGTATGCATGCATGTATGCACGTATGTATGTATGTATGTATGTATGCATGTATGTATGTATGTATGTATGTATATATGTATGTATGTATATAAGTATGTATGTATATATGTATGTATGTACGTACGTATATACAAATGTATGCATGCATGTATGTATGTATGTATGTATGTATGTATGTATGTATGTATTTACTCACCCTCATCCACCAACACGAGCTCAATGAGCCTGTCCTTCTCGACGCTGAGGACGTGGGGGCAGTAGCAGAAGGAGTCAGAGCACACCTTGCCCTTGGAGGTGGCGTTGCAGAAGTCCCTCTCGACGTCCACGCCTTCGGGTTGCGAGAGAGGAGGCACGCTGGGGAGTCTCAGGCTGATGTCGTTGATCTGGGGGAGGTACACGCGGTGGGTCCTTTGCACTGTAGGGGGGGGGAAAGGGGAGGGAAGGGTTAGTATATATGGTGGTTAGATGTGCGTTGTTTGTTTTTTTTATTGTGGTTGTTCTTTTTCTCGCTTTTTTTTATCGTGGTTTGTTTTCTTGTTTGTTTTATTTGGGGTAGTTTGTTTGTTTTTATCGTGGTGAAATTCCACGGCGAATTCTTTATTCTTATTCGTCCTATCTATGGTAGTTCCTTATCTTTTTTCTTATTCGTGGTGTGAATTTCTCTTCTTTTTCGTCCTGTTTATCATCCCCTTTACTCACTCAGGTTACTAGTGATACAAATTACTAAGTTCCTATACTCAGACATTTTTTTCAGTGATAGCTAAATCCTTTCTCATCTTTTCATTAACATTTGCTTCACTCACTCCCTTTGTAAATAAGTTATCTTATAGGGAAGTTATCTTATCATTAAAAATCATACGTAGTAGAGATTATGAGAAAGAGTACCTTACTATATTTAAAAAATGCGTAAGAAAATATTATTATATTCTATGGCAGATAATAACACAAATATGAAAATGAAAGTCATCATACTCTACTGGTCATATATATTACTGAAGTTATATTAATAATTTCCATTATTCTGGAGACATAAACATAAAAAAAGGAATAAGTAGAAAATAAGGAAAAAAATAAGGGTAACATGATATATGAATAAATCCAGAAATGTCAGAGAAACTATTTTGATTAAACAGAAAGAAAGGAAAACCCTTGCATACTAGACACGTGCAATGCAATGTGATCGTTGCCAATCTAGCATTATTTCCCTTTTAACAATAAATCGAATTACTAATATTAATGCTCTATGACTACACAACTTGGATGGCTCTGACCTAAACGAACAAATAAAGAAACAAGTTAAACAAGCAAACAAACAAACAAAAAAAGAAATCGTTAACAAAAACGCAAGACAAACAAACATAAACACAGACTGGCAAATTAGAAGGATAGGACTAAAAAGTTTTGGATGGTAAAAATGTACAACCCATCGTTTTGAAATTGTTGAAATACCTAGAAAAATAGAAAACAGTAAAAATGGAGTAAAAGGGAGAGAAAAGGGGGGATGAGGCCATAGAGGGAGGGAGAGAGGGAGAGAGGGAGAGAGGGAGAGAGGGAGGGAGAGAGGGAGGGAGACAGACAGAGAGAGAGAGAGAGAGAGAGAGAGAGAGAGAGAGAGAGAGAGAGAGAGAGAGAGAGAGAGAGAGAGGGAGAGAGAGAGAGAGAGAGAGAGAGAGAGAGAGAGAGAGAGAGAGAGAGAGAGAGAGAGAGAGGGAGGGAGAGGGAGAGGGAGAGGGAGAGGGAGAGGGAGAGAGAATGAGAAAGAGAAAACGAAAGAGACGGACAGACATACAGACAAACAGAGAGAAAGCACAACCAACCAACCTCCAAAGAAGGGATAATGTTCCTCGTGGTGAAACAGCTCGTTATTTTTGCTGTAGAAGTCGAAGTCAAGCCAGAACTGGTAGTCAGGTGTTCTGGCAATGGCTTCGTCTTCCTCTAAGCCTCTGATCTCGGCGGCGGTTACGAACGTTCCGTCTCCCGGCGCCGCGTTCAGCTTGTTCAAGTTCTGAGGGAGAGAAAGATGATGGGAGTTCTTTCGTAAAATGCTTTTCTAATTCTATCAATTTATAGGGACTGGTTCTAAGAGATACAGATAGCTAAAGGAATATATATATATATATATATATATATATAGATAGATAGATAGATAGATAGATAGATAGATTAGATAGATAGACAGACAGATAGATAGAGATAGGGAGGAGAGGGAGAGAAGTGGGGAGAGGGAGAGGGGGGGAGAAAGGGAGGAGGGAGGGAGGGAGGGAGGGAGGGAGGGAGGGAGGGAGAGAGGGAGGGAGGGAGAGAGGGAGGGAGGGAGGGAGGGAAGGAAGGAGAGGGAGGGAAGGAAGGAGAGGGAGAGATGGAGAGATGGAGTGATTGAGGGAGGGAGGGAGGGAGGGAGGGAGGGAGAGAGATATGCGAAGAGAGAACGAGACATACAGAGAGAAAAAAAAAGAGAGAGAAGGAGAAACAGAAAGAGAGGAAAGACCACCGAAACTCCTACTCACAAGGCCCTCCGGAATCGTAGACTCGTAAGTGACGTTCTGTAGGCTCGCCGGGTAGCCTTCGGCGCCCTCGTACCGCATGACGGCGACCTGGAAAGAGGACGAGTTATAGAACATTTTTTTCCCGAATGTTTATATGCAGAATACGCGAATGAACATGCACACACACACGTACATACGCACACACACACACACACACACACACACACACACACACACACACACACACACACACACACACACACACACACACACACACACACACACACAATAACAACAAATCTCCGCCAGCGCCCAAAAAAATTCTCTCACAAAACCAGAGACATAAAAATGAACTTCCTGTCAATGACTACACAGGCCAGGAATCTTTTAATATGGTAAGAAAGTAATTTTACAAACAAAATCTAATCAACCCGTCACCTGAAGCCAGTTTACCCATAAATTTTCATCACAATCCATCTACAACAGTGATTCTTACTCTGTATTTTGCAAAGGGGGCGCGAGCTCTTGGAACAAAGGCAGTAATTTTTCTAATTATCTTTGTATTATCTTTTTTCTCTTAACGAGAGCATGATTGCATAATGAAAAGTCTAATTAGAATGCCACTAATTCATACTCGTTAAAAAGACAAAACACACTAATAATTTCTTTAAAATTTTAGCGGGAATTTTATTTACAAGTACAAGGGAGGCGTGGAAGGACAAACTGGTCTATAACTTTCCATACAACGCTACCAACAAATAAAACAAACAAACCATAAAAATGATTAATACAATAAAAACAAGATTTAAACAAAGACAATACAGTAAAACCTGAGAAAACCGGACCTTGAGAAAACCGGATCACTGTCCATTCCGGACGATATTCTCAGTCCCTTCCCATTTCAATAGGCGGCCTGTGTTAAAAGCCTACCCTCTCCAAACCGGATTACTGTCCAAACCGGACATTTTTTACAGTCCCATGGGTGTTCAAACCGGATCACTGTCCATTCCGGACGATATTCTCAGTCCCTTCCCATTTCAATAGGCGGCCTGTGTTAAAAGCCTACCCTCTCCAAACCGGATCACTGTCCATTCCGGACGATATTCTCAGTCCCTTCCCATTTCAATAGGCGGCCTGTGTTAAAAGCCTACCCTCTCCAAACCGGATCACTGTCCATTCCGGACGATATTCTCAGTCCCTTCCCATTTCAATAGGCGGCCTGTGTTAAAAGCCTACCCTCTCCAAACCGGATCACTGTCCATTCCGGACGATATTCTCAGTCCCTTCCCATTTCAATAGGCGGCCTGTGTTAAAAGCCTACCCTCTCCAAACCGGATCACTGTCCATTCCGGACGATATTCTCAGTCCCTTCCCATTTCAATAGGCGGCCTGTGTTAAAAGCCTACCCTCTCCAAACCGGATCACTGTCCATTCCGGACGATATTCTCAGTCCCTTCCCATTTCAATAGGCGGCCTGTGTTAAAAGCCTACCCTCTCCAAACCGGATCACTGTCCATTCCGGACGATATTCTCAGTCCCTTCCCATTTCAATAGGCGGCCTGTGTTAAAAGCCTACCCTCTCCAAACCGGATCACTGTCCATTCCGGACGATATTCTCAGTCCCTTCCCATTTCAATAGGCGGCCTGTGTTAAAAGCCTACCCTCTCCAAACCGGATCACTGTCCATTCCGGACGATATTCTCAGTCCCTTCCCATTTCAATAGGCGGCCTGTGTTAAAAGCCTACCCTCTCCAAACCGGATCACTGTCCATTCCGGACGATATTCTCAGTCCCTTCCCATTTCAATAGGCGGCCTGTGTTAAAAGCCTACCCTCTCCAAACCGGATCACTGTCCATTCCGGACGATATTCTCAGTCCCTTCCCATTTCAATAGGCGGCCTGTGTTAAAAGCCTACCCTCTCCAAACCGGATCACTGTCCATTCCGGACGATATTCTCAGTCCCTTCCCATTTCAATAGGCGGCCTGTGTTAAAAGCCTACCCTCTCCAAACCGGATCACTGTCCATTCCGGACGATATTCTCAGTCCCTTCCCATTTCAATAGGCGGCCTGTGTTAAAAGCCTACCCTCTCCAAACCGGATCACTGTCCATTCCGGACGATATTCTCAGTCCCTTCCCATTTCAATAGGCGGCCTGTGTTAAAAGCCTACCCTCTCCAAACCGGATCACTGTCCATTCCGGACGATATTCTCAGTCCCTTCCCATTTCAATAGGCGGCCTGTGTTAAAAGCCTACCCTCTCCAAACCGGA